AGGCTGTGTAGCGAAGGAGGTGGTATTCTGTTGGACCCTTGGTTGGTTTGTTGAAGAAATTAAAATGTGTAGTAAATGAGGCAGGGGGATTGCAAAAAAGAAAGGAGGGACTGGAAAGGACTGCAAACACTGAAGAACAGGGGCACAATTCAGAAGGATCTTAACAGTTTGGAAATCTGAGCTGGAGCTAACAGGATGAAGTTCCATGAGGACAAATGCAAAGTGCTACACCTCGGGAAGAATAATCAAGAAACACAAATGTAAAATGGGTGACAAATAGTTGGATGGCAGCACTACAGAGAAGGATCTAGGAATCCTGGATTGCAGACTCAATATGAGTCTGTAGTGTGACTTGAAGGTGCAGCAAAGTATGTTTAGATTGGATACCAGGAAAAACTTCATTGTTAGAACAGTGAGGTGGTATAATAGACAGCCTAGGAAAGCTGTGCAATTTCCATCGCTGGAGATATTCAAGAAGTCGGATAAGCTTTGATCAGGGATGATCTAGAAGTAATTATGCCTATGCTATGCTAGGGGTATTTCCCATGCTTCTGGGCTCTCCTAGTTGCCAAATGAGGCTGGGAAGGAAATGTTTTCCTCTCCTGTTGCTACACATCATACAGCTTTTTTTCCCTTCCTCAAAAGCATTGGGTGTCAGCTTAAGGCAAGGCTGGGGATTTTGACTTGGGTGTGCCAATGCTCCTGCTGGGACTAAAATCTGGAGGTTCCTGGATAGAGGGTCATGCCCCACCCCTACTCAGGGTCAGACTGATCCCCATATTTGGGATCAGGAAGGAATTTTACCTTATGGTCAGATTGGCATGGACCGGGGAGGTTTTTTCCTTCCTCTGTAGCAGGCGGTGTGGTTCTCTTCCTTGAATCTCAAAAGAGTATTTTAGCAATTTCTGGATGGGCATTTGAGCAGGACACTGATTGCCATTTGTTCTCTGCTTTATCTGTGACAGTTTAGGGTGCTATGTCTTGTAGTTGTGTGAGGGATGGACTAGATGACCTCCAGAGGTCCCTTCAGGCCCTTCTTTTCTATGATTCTGTGATTCTGATTCAGGGTTCGACCAGTTGCATGCTGTCCTGGAAAATGGATTCTAATCTTGCTTCTGCTACAGAGGCCCTTTGCAACGCTGGGGAAATCACTTAAACAACTTTTCAAAGCTGACTTCTGTCTTATTTTTGGGTGCCAGCCTAAAGATACCCGAGATCTGATCTGCAGAAGTGCTGAGTACTTTCAGTTGCAATTGAAGGCATTTGTAGGCTGTGCTTGAAACATAGAAAGCACGATTAAATGCTACATCCCACAAAATGTGAGGACCTAAGGAACAGAGTCTATCCCACCTAACAGGCATGTAAGTGTGATTCCACCATGTTCAAATCCCTAGAAAAACATTAACATGCCTACTCTTTCAGATGAGGAGCCACACACTGAGGATGTCTTAGGTGTAGTGGTGTAACAGAGTTGCTAGGTCATACCCTGAGGAGGGGGGAGTGACGCACAGTTGTGAGAGCAGGGGTGGGGAGGCACAGATTCAAAGAGCGAGAGCAGGGTGGGGGCATGGGCTGCAGGGGGTATAGGTTCTGAGATGGGTGAGGGAGGTGATAGCACAGATTTGAAGGTGGAGGGGGCGCTGATCACAGACTGTACTTTACCCACATCAGGAACTCCACAATCCCAACTGAGCTGCTGCTGCCAGCATGTGTGCTCTGCTTGCCCTGTTTATTGCTCTTCAAGTGGCAGCTGCTGGGCTTTGGAGTTTCCAGCATGGGAACACTTCCAGGGCACACATTCTGTGGGGACTGAAAGAGATACCAATGTCCCTCTTAACTTATCACCCCAAACCGGCATCCCTTTCACCCACCCCTAGTTACACTATGTTTGGCTGGTATGTTTCTCGGCCAGTAGTTTCCTATCTGTTCTTTAGTGTGATCAGTATATATGGCTGATAATGAGGAGGATAAAAAGAAACACTGAACAGCTTAGCATTCCACCACCATCCTCCAGTCTGTGTCCTAAATGAGGAAACCTTAATTTTAGCATTTCCTAACCTTTCAGTTCTTGACTTTGATTACTTGATCTTTGTGTGTGCATGTGTGTGTGTAAGGACTAGCCTATAATACATATTAGAAGCCAAGGGCTGTGTATATTCACATCACTTAAAAATAAAATTTGCTTTGATATACCTGACTGGACACAGTCTGAGGGTTCATTTTAGTTTTACAGTTAAAATGATAGCAAGCTGCATGGCATGCTCTTTTTTCTCCTTCTTTTAGGCATAGCAGCGATGCTTGTGTCCTTCCTTGTGGGCCTATACTATAACACTATCATTGCCTGGGTGATGTGGTATTTCTTCAACTCCTTCCAAGAGCCATTGCCCTGGAGTCAGTGTCCGCTCAATGCAAACAGAACAGGTACAGTTTATGAAACGGAACATTTTTCTATAGAGCACATTTCTGCAGTTAGCAACAAATGTAATACAGTCTCTTTCTGTATAAGGATAATATGCTGATTTACTAGGGAACATTTTAATAATGTGATAATTAGGTTTTGCAGGAAAATATTCAGCAGCTTATGGAAAATGAGATCAAACTTTGTGTCACTACTTGACACTAAAGTGGGCATCTTAAGTAAAATGAAAAAACAGGTGTCTGTAGGAGATAGATTGATGTATTAACTTTGTCACATACACAGTATTCTCAATGGAGGATCCAGTGCAGACACTAGCATTCTAGAGCATTTTTTTGTAGATGCAGACAACAGGATTTTGTTTAATCGTAAAAATATTGTCAGGCTGGGACAGATCCAAGTGAATAATACTTCAATATTACTGCTATAATATCTGCTTCTTTTCTTACCTAATGAATGTAGGATTTACTGAATTACAATTTTTTTTTGCTTTCAGGGTTTGTAGAAGAATGTGCCAAAAGCTCTCCTGTAGATTATTATTGGTACAGAGAAACATTAAATGTTTCCACTTCCATTGACAATTCTGGCACTATCCAATGGTGGCTTTTACTATGTTTAACATGTGCATGGGGTGTTCTGTATGTGTGCACAATCAGAGGCATTGAAACAACGGGAAAGGTACTACATTTCATTTCACATGAGAGTGAAATAATATTGATTATGCTATTGTGATTCCCTGTTTATATACATGGATATGAGAAGCTAGTCATGTTGTGCCATAACTAATTAAGACATATCAGGTAGTTCTACAACTTTATACTGACAAAGGTTTTCTGCACATGCACATTAGTTCTAAATTTTTGGTGCAGGGAAGAGGCACAGAAGTTATAGACACATTTTTCTAATGACCACCAATTGTCAGCAACAATTAGCAAACATCAGGTTGTGGGTTGTTGATTTTATTGCTACAGATCCAGATAGAATGATTTGATCTGAATGCTAAAGAATTACTATTTTTCTAAATTTGGGCCCTGACTGAAAACGTGCTTTGTAATTATAAATTAAAATATTCAAACTGTTCTTGAACTTAAGGTTCCATAGCACATTAATCATGGCTAATCTGATCTATTAGTTTATAATTCAATGTTTTTGCTTCTCTTTTCTTTCTTCCTTAGCTATTCTTGCTATGAAACAGTGCTTTATCTTATACTTTTAAAATATGTATCTGGGGTTTTTTTTCAGGCTGTGTATGTAACATCTACACTTCCATATGTTGTACTTACCATTTTCCTGATCCGTGGCTTGACGTTGAAAGGATCAGTCAGTGGAATTGTTTATCTCTTCACTCCCAATGTAAGTGATTGGATTCTTTGCTTGTCAATGAAGCTATTAGCGGCTAGATCCAGATTGGTCCTATCATCACCTAAGTGGGATGTAGTCATAGGAAAGTAGGGCTGGAAGGAAACTCATAATGTCATCTAGTCTAGCGTCCCTGACTAAACTGTCACAGCCAAGTGTCTCTCTAACCTGCTTTGGAAAGTTTTCAAGGTTGGAGACACCACAATTTCTCTAGAGAGTCTTTTCCAATGCCTGACCACCCTCATAGTCAGAAAGTTCCTCTTAACTCCCAACCTAAAGCTGAAGCTTGAGGCCATTCCTCCTATTTCTGTCTCTTAAAGCCCCAGAGAAAAGCTCATCTCCATCCTCTCTATAATCACCCTTCTGGTATTTGAAGACTATTATCAAACTCCTCCTCAGTCTTCTCTTCTCCAGGCTAAATAGCCCTAGTTTTTTCAGTCTTTATGTCTTCTCTCCCAGGCCCCAGATCATTTTTGTTGCCCCATGCTGGTCTCTTTCCAAACTGTCCACATCCTTCATGTGATCCAGACTAGCTCTGCTGCAACATCGGCATGCTCAGAAGTGATCCAGTTTGAACTCCTAAGTGTCTCAGTCCTACGAAAACTCTGCCTATATACCTAGAAGAACCTGATCTCTAAATCATCCTTAGAGCTCATTTAAGTCACACTGGGTACATTTACACTTGCTATTGGGTACATCTACACTTGCTTTTAGCATAGAGCAATAAACTGCAGCACTGGAGTTTATTGCTTCTGGGCGTGCTGCATCTACACATGTGCCTGGGACCTCAGCACGTTGAGTTGGGTCGGAGCAGCCCTGACTGACAAGGAACCCAGGGGGTTAGCCTGCCAGCCCAGAGCTGCTCTGACCCAGCTCAACATGCTGCAGAGGGGCTGGCTGGGGCACAAGAGTGCTCCAGTGTAGAGACAGCCAGCAGGCAACCCCTGCACTGAAGCACCCTTTTGCACCAGCTAGCCCCATCAGCATCTACACGTGCTGCTACACAGTAAACAATGCCACTGCAGGACAATGCTTGTATTTACAAGTCCCAACCTCTGACAGCGTTTATTAGTTTACTATGACCGAATAGGGCCAGACATGTAGATGTGGAGACATCTCATATGGATGCACCCACTGACAACATTGCATTTCATAACGTCTCATATGGATGCACCCACTGACAACATCACATTTAGAACTAAGTGCAGTGGCTAGAATCACTTTCACCCAAAAACATGGCCAGCATGGTAGTGGTGCTATTGTCAATCGTTGTCTAATGCCTAGTGGTCAGAGAACTTGCCTGGGAAGTTGGAGCAAGTCAAAGGGAACCAGCCTTCACACCTTTGTGGGTAGGCTGGGAGGAGAGAAAGAACACCTGGGCTTATGTCAGGTTTCATTCTTTTCCTGTTTTAAATCAATGATTGTGTAATTTTTAAGTTATAAATGGTTCTGAGAGGAGGGATCAGGACCTGGGATTCCTGCCTCCCATGGGAGATTCCTCATCACTGGGCTGCAGAGTGATGTTTCCTCTTTCTTGTGCTCTCTGTCTCTCTTTCTCTAACCCCATATTTCTCATGAATCTTGCAGCCTTGGCTGCTCAGTGACCAAGCTTCAACAGTGAAGTTGGAAAGGACCTCTAGCCATTTCATTCTATAGTCTAGTGGTTAGGCCACTCTACTGGGAAGTGTGAAGTGTGGGTACGAATCCTCTTGAATAGAGGGGGTGTTTAGAACCACGATTTCCCACTTCTTGGCTTAAGACTCTAAACACAAGGCTGTTATAAAAGGTGACTACCACAACCATCCTCATTAGGTGCCAGCCATTAAAAGAAGGCCTGAATGGTCTGGATCCCAGGTGAAAGGAAACAACTAATGCACAGCCTGAGTTAGGTGCCTAAGCTCAGTGATGGGTGCAAGTTCAGACACATCTCTGTGCCTAGTGTATCTGAACTAGTTTGATTTTAGGTGCTTCTTGGCTCTCTGCACTGACCTTTGGAAGTACTCAAGTCTCATCATTTATTGTATAGGGGTCTTGGACTCCTAACCCAGTCTATTTTGATCATTGTCATGTCAAAGGTACGGTGCCAAGTGGTCAGTCTGGATCTGGCCCTAAATGTTATTAGCAACAAGGAGAAAATGAACCTGTCATCTATATTTATTCTGAGTATCTTTCAGGCATGCTTAAAGACAACTTCTCATGTTTGAACTGTGAATAGTAGAGCTCTGCTTTGCATTATCCAAACACATTAGGATACTGCTGAAGTTGATTTGTCAATCAGTTACTTTTGCAGGCCTTAAATATTTCTTCTTGCTGTTTCAGATATTATATATATAATGTGTGTGTGTATATACATGTGTGTATGTATGTATGTATGTATGTATGTACTGCCTCGGATTTTGGGAATTCCTGAATGGACAAGGGGTCATTCCAGAGTGATCTGAATTGTTCATTTACCTCCTCTTAACAGGGAATCTACATTATTTTTTTCAAATGCACCCATACCTTACTAGAAGAAAGGGCCAGGCCTGAATTTCAGACATAAATGGTAGAATTAGGATGATAATGCCTGTAATTTAGATACCACCATTAAGATGTCTTACATTTATAGCAGTTTCTCCTCAAAATAGAAAGGGTGTAGCTGCCCAGGAGAGTCCAAATATTAAAGTTTATCTGTTGGCTAATTTGAGGAAACAAGAGAGGAACCCACTATCAGATAAAAGGAGACAAAATTATATGAGCATTGTTATCTTATTTCTGCTTTAAATCTTACTGATTTAATTTTAACATATAAGTAGTTTACTTATGAAAATGAAAATGAAATTGATAAAGGCATTCACTTGTCTGCTGTCCAGAGTGCTGTTTTCCATAGAGAGCAGAAATAAGCTATGCATCAACCAGAGATGACCCTAGCCGGGTGCGGGGCCCGGATGCAAAGAAGCCGGCGGCAGCAGGGTGGGGGCAGCAGCCAAATGCAAAGTTGCCAGCGGCCGGACGCACAGCTGCCAGAGGCAGCAGCACAGAATCACCAGTAGTAGGTGGGCCCTGCAGGAGGGGCCGCAGCCACTCTGTCTGGGTCTGTGGGACCCCCCAAAACGCGGGGCCTGGGGCGGTCACCCTGATTTGCACCCCCCCCCCCAGGGACGGCGCTGTCTGATGTTCAGCCCAAGTTTTGATTTGAGACACTCGCTACCTTTTGTCTGATGTCACAGGTTGCTGAGTTGGCCAACCCCGTCACGTGGCTGGATGCTGGAGCACAAGTGTTCTACTCCTTCTCCCTTGCCTTTGGAGGCCTCATCTCCTTCTCAAGTTACAATTCCATTCAGTAAGTATCCAGCACAAAAAATCTAATCCTACTGGATCTTTAGAAGGCTCCCCATAGCCTTGCTTCCTTTCTCCATGAGGTTGCATTGCCAAAAGTACTAAAATAGAAATGCAGTAGGAGCCATGAAAAGTTGCTTTCAATGGTTGAGATGAAATATGTTGTGCTCAGGCTCTGCTTTTTAATTATATGAATATTCTTCAGAGCTGGAGTGTTTTTTTAAAACATCTGAAAATGGAGACAGCTTAGACCTTGCCCATTTCACTTGGGAAGAAGGAAAAGCACAGCATCAGCCCCCTGATCCCTGTTCCTCTGAGAAGCCCTTTGGGCTCATCTGCTCCATGTAGGCACATTCCTGACAGAAGAGGCCTGAGCCCACCCTACATCCCCAACATCCACAGATATGCTTTACACCTGGCAGTTGGCTAGTTAACTGCTCTGGGCTCATTCCCGGGGGGCTGTTCTCAAGTACAGTGGAGACCAAGAGCTCAAGAACCACCTCAAAGGAATGCCCTTGAGTGTCCTTACCAGCAGACTTCAGGTTTGGTGAATGGCTGTGGGTACAGGTGAGCAGGATGTTGGCCAGGCCAGCATAGAGGGACATGCCATCCCCATGGTGCAGACCAGACACTGTGGCTTTTCATTGCGTTTCCTAGCAAAGCATCACAATACCAAACAATGTTGCAGATTCAGCATTGTCCTGTATGAGCTTCTACCATTCTGAATCTCATCCTCACCTTTCTGAATAAAGCAGTAGAAAAAATGGAGAAAAAATGCCAGAGTTGGCAGGTCTTCAGTAATTTGGTCTCTCCAAAAACCATCATGCCAGAAAATCCAGAGGCAGAAAAGGGTTTTAATGCCTCTGCACAGAGGATCAGGATCTCTGTAGAGCTATAATTCCACTCTTACATACTTTTTTTTGGAAATTGTTTTTTTTAGAAAAAAACAAACTATATTTATACTTGTGTACAGGAATACTAAATAATAAAATCAAAGAGAATGCTACCATGCTATAGTTCTAATGATTTGTTAGCACTGAGTATCAATTTTGTATCACTTTTTAAAATAGTAACTTTTAAGGACATCGTCAATGGTACTTCAGGGCACTTCAAAACCACTGTAAAAGTGGGCCTATAAATTGAGTTTATAGTTAATTTACATCACCAGAACAGCACAAAGTACATGTAGTATCCTAATATATAGAGCCTTTAATTTGCAAATGCCTTGGTGATTGTAGAGGGCTTTGTTACTGAAACCGATGCTACATGAACTGAGAAAGTAAGGGGGAGTCTGTCCATGAGTCTTAAGCTCTTTTTCTTTTAATGGCTCCTACTTCATTTCCATCTCAGTACTTTTGGCAATGCAACCTCATGGAGCAAGGAAGCAAGGCCATGGGGAGCCTTCTAAAGACAGATGTCTAAGTTATCATGGAACCTTTCTTTGAAGGTAACAAGTGGACCAATGAGAGCACTTGTTTGAACAGTACCTCCTACAGTGGAATCTCCTGCTTGGCTAATCCACAGGCACTATTCTAATAAATATAAGCATTATTAATAACAAATACTTTTCACATGTGTCTGAATCAATACCAAGTTTATAGAACTAATAAAATTGTTTTAACTAAATTGGCTGTAGAGGAAGGACTATGATTTGTTGAGTCCATCACAGAGCCCTAGTGACTTACCTGATCTGGTGATCTCTCCCTGCCTGTAACCTCTGCAGTTTAACAATTCATGGATTATTTAAAGTGGGTATTAGCTTAATTAGAAGATTATTTCTTCAAGCTTCTGCACAAGATTTAAAATTTAATTATAAAGACTGAACAATCTGTTGTAGTGCCTTCCTAATGGAATTTGATACAAGAAGAGAGATACTACATTTATTAGTATCCAGTTTTTATTTAATTGTAACTCTAAATGACAGAATTACTAGTACATTATCAGACAATGTAATAAGAACATATACACTGTTAGTCTAAATGCTTTGATAATCTTGTTAATTAATTTTTAATAGTGAATTTTGGGGAAATGTTTCATATTCACTGAGATTTCTACCTTTTGACTTACAGTAATAACTGTGAGAAAGATGCAGTGATTATCTCTGTGATCAATGGTTTCACATCCATTTACGCAGCAACTGTCATCTATTCCATCATTGGATTCAGAGCCACAGAGAGATTTGATGCTTGTTTTGACAGGTAAGGTTGCATAAAAACTTAATATAGAGACTTTTGTCTGGCCTGAACAAAAGCAGCTTGGGTTTTCAGCACTCTTAGCTAAATTAAAATTGCTCCATCATTTATTTGAGGGGCACATGATCACACAAAGAGCCATCTTGACATGTTGTGGTGTCATGTCCCATATAAAATCATGTTCTATATATCAAGTTGAAGCTATAACTTCAAAAAATTAAAATTGCATGCAAAACCAATAGCTTATAATAACCTGCTATTCAAATATGTGGGGGGAGGGGTGTTCTAAATATAAGTAGGTAAACCAACTTGACTTTACCAACCTATTGTTTGATTTGCCTTAACTACAGGTAACCTAAAGTCTGTTTTATATAGTTCCTTGAGACAATTATTCCAGAAAGTGACATTCTAGAGGAGTTAGCCATCTAGTCATTGGTACTCCATTTTACTTAATTTTTAAAACAGTTCTTTCAGAAATAAAAGCAGTTAAGATGGCAAAATCCTTTGGCATAAATGTAGTGAGTTGGGAATACACTCTCCCCCCTGAAAGTGCTGGAACAGTAATAATTGTAAAAGTGATTTAAACCATTAATCATTCGTGTAATCAGAGATGAGCTACTGAACACAACTGTGAATTAAGTAAAACCACTGTGATAGAAAATTGGGATTTTTGCCAAATCTGTTTTTGAGAAAAGGAACAGTTTTCACAAAGAAGTCACATTTCAAATTTCAAGCCCATCAAGGGAATTATTGTTTGGTTTCCTCACATACCCATTCTCATCAATCTACAATCCTGCTGCACCCCAGGAGATATACTCACAATAACATGCCCAGCCTAGGCATCTTAATCTACAAGTCTTTCATTTGTTACTTAATTTGTTACTTAACTGAGAGGTAGATTTTCATCTCCAGGTCTCCAGATATTTCTGTGAAAAACTGTGTGTGCATATACTTGTGTCTGTACCTTGCAGGACATTCTTTATTCTGTCTATATCATTCTCTTAGCAGCCCTACATTGCTTATGCCCTTCCTTATAAGAGAAAATGAACTCTTGATAAATTCTCTGAGGATTAAAATGAATCCTGAAGTTGCTTACACATACACATTAACACTAAATCTTTTTATTTTACTTTTGCAGAAATATTCTCACCCTGATGAATGCTTTTGATTTGCCAGAAGGTAACGTAACCCAGGAAAACTTTGGAGATCTACAGAAGTTGTGTAACATGACTGATCCAGGGGCTTTTGCAAACCTTAAGTTTGAGACCTGTAACCTAGAAAGTTTCTTAAATGATGTAAGTTGACATCAGGGATGGAATTTATAGAATTACTACAGGATAAGCTTGCATGTAAGATGCCTAACACCTTCCAATATAAGCAAATTTTATTTTGTAGATTTCATAGACATTAGGGGCTGGAAGGGACCTCATGAGATCATTGAGTCCAGCCCCCCTGCCAGAGGCAGGAAGTCTGCAGGGATAACATGCTTGCAGCAAGATAAGCATCCAAACACCTTTTGAATTAATCCAGAGTAGGTGCTTGCACCACTTCTGGGGGGAGTCTGTTCCAGGCCTTGGACACTTGGACTGGAAAGAAGTTTTTCCTTATACTGAGTCTGAACTGGCCTTCTAGAAGTTTGTGGCCATTAGACCTAGTTATCCCTTGGGAAGCCCTGGTGAACAACTGTTTTCCCAGATCCTGATTCACCCTCCTTATATACTTATAGGCAGCCACCAAGTCCCCCCTGAGCCTTCTCTTCACCAGGCTGAAGAGTTCCATGCCCCTCAGCCTCTCCTCATAAGGCTTGCGCTCTTGGCCTTTGAACATATGGGTAGCACCACTGAGCCTATAAGTATATTGCTGGTTTTTTCTCCCAAGGTGGAGTACCTTGCATTTCTCTATGTTGAATGCTACCAAGTTTTGGTCTATCCACTTTGCAAACATGTCCAGGTCGACCTGTATCCCCAGCCTGTCCTCCAGCATGACTGCCTTCCCCCATAGTTTCGTGTTGCCTGCAAACTTTGCCAGTCTGCATCTGATGCCTGAATCTAGATCAAAATGATCTTTCCTTTGAGATACCTTTGATCTTTCCTTTAAGACACCTTTATATATCCATTGCTTGCAGCAATGGGGAAGTAGTTTTCATTGTCCCAAGAAATTCTATTTGAATTTTGTTGAGTTATAAACTTAAACAACACTATTTCCCCATTACTTATCTCTTACATTCATTCCCCAGAAAAAATTTGGTTGTTTACCAGAATGATAATTAAACACAAATATTCTAAAGTTAGGCTCAGACAGCTGATAAAGCAGGAGCTGCCCCAGACATTGAACAGGTAATGCACGAGAGCTGTGATGAGAGAGAATGAGTGCGGGAATGAGAGAAAGGTTTGATCATATTCTAAAACATGTCCCACTTGGCATAATACATGGGGTAGGAGCTCCCCCCAGCTTCTGGACCAACTCTTCCCCAACACCCATTTCTGGACCCAGATGTCAAACCTCAAGCTCAAAACATGGTTGCTTTCTCCTTTTACCTAAAGCATATGCCTCTTTGAACCGGTTAGTCTTTAAGGTGCTACCATGTTCTGCCTTTCTGAAAGAAAGAAGTACGAGCAAATTGTTATACACAAGTGTTACATGTAACACGGCTCTCTCTTCTTTTAGAAAAACAAGGAAAAGCTATGTTAAAAAAACTTTAAGACTGTAAAATCAATCATCCAAAATTTTATCAAATGATTGAAGAGTACAACATATAGCATATTGCATTACCATCTTCAGGTAACATGACCATCCTTTTAAATGCTAAATATTGTCAGTTTCCTGAAAGTTTGACCCTTCTGTAATCTTCTACAGGGAGTTGAAGGAACTGGCTTAGCTTTTATTGTCTTCACTGAAGCTATCACCAAAATGCCTGTCTCACCATTGTGGTCCATCCTCTTCTTTATCATGCTGTTCTGTTTGGGCTTGTCCTCGATGTTTGGAAACATGGAAGGTGTCCTTGTACCCTTACAAGACCTTAATCTCATTCCTAAAAAATGGCCTAAGGAACTTATAACAGGTAAGTGTTATTCTGGGGCTGGACAATTTTTTTCCCATGAATCTAATGTAGTTTGGGTCATCTAAAAGTATTGGCAAATTAAATCAAAGAGATTTGGCCAATGGAAAAAAAATGGAAACATTGTAATGATGATTTGTTTCGATTTCTTGAAATAGATTTACAAAGGGACTTGGGAATCATTCACAAGACAAAAAGGTGGTGACCTAATTAAGACACTCACCTGGGATGTGGGGGCCCTGACTTCACACCATATCTCTGCCTCAGCAGAAACAGGAACTGAAGTCTCCCAGGGCCTCCCAAGGGAGGGACCTACACTGTATTCTGGGATATGCCTCTCTCAGTATTTCCTGATAAAGATATTTTACTTCTATATTCTATTGTAGCTTAGACCAAAACCCAAGTGCTACCCTTCAAGATTAGTGTTCTATTCACAAGGCAGTTGACTTGCTTTCCATTCTTTTGCTGAATGAACATTTACTTTTGTATGCAAAGTAATGCAAGGTAGAACAATGTCAATGGGAGAGACTGAGAAAGATGTATTCCAGGATTCCTGACAGCTTGTGATTGGGGTACTTCCTTGAATGTCCCAAAGTATCTCACCAGAATTCAGCAAATGTTATTTAGCCTTTGTTGTGTAACCCAGGTTTGTTTATTTAAATGCGTTCTGAATTAACAAATAAAAATGCCCTAGGTGAGTATTTTAAATACGGTGTGAGGTGAAGAATCGGAACCATCATTTTGTGCCTAAATTGTCATGTGGTTCTAGCTATTTGCTTATTACAGAAGTGCCAGAATGGGAGAGAGAGAAGGAAAAGGTGAAGAGGAATTAGATCTTTCATTTGATTCTTTTTCATTCACAGAAAAATCTGAAAAGATTATGCTTCAGGTTAATCTGAGCTTTTAAACTATTTCTCGTTCATCCACTGAACTGAACATTCCGTCAGGTAGAAGGTAGGGCAGGGTGGCATCTTAGAGATTAACTGGTTCAGACAGACAGGAGATGCTTCATCAGATGCTATCATCTACCATTACATGCTATCCTGATAGATAATGGTATCTGATGAAGTAGGCTGTCACCTACAAAAGCTCTTGCTTCTCTGAATAACTGTCACCATTTGAAGCAGATCAGCTGTGCTGCAATGCGTCATGGAACAGCTGATCTTCTTCAGTGGGAGAAACGCACATTGCCTCTTGTCCTACTTGTTGATGCTGTAGGACAAGGGGTGATGTGTTATTCCAGAGCTTGAGGGGCCTGGCCCTGTGCACCCCAGAAATTCCCAGGCAGGATCAAGCCTCTCAAGCTCTGGGAGTCCCTGCCCAGCTTTTCCCCCTTACCCAGACACATTCCCCAGTGTTGGCACTAGATTTATGACCCAGTCTTGATACCTTGTTCCAGGCAAACCCCACCCTCAGACTGATCATGACTTCTTCCATTTGATAATAGGCAAATTTTGTTGATATGCAGTAATAGCAGATAAGAGTAATGCAGGCAAAGCAAACAAAATAACTCCCCTGATCCTGCTTATCTACAGGTTCCAGGTTTTCACAGAGGGATGGTATACCTGGCCGGCACATGAGCACCACCCTGTGGTTCTCTGCTTGAATGTCAGATGTCAACAGTCTTGGAGGTCAAAAGCCAATGCTGACCCCACCCACCATAGGGTGGGTGAGATGGGCCAGTGGTGTGCCCTCTACCCATGGTGGCCTCAAGATCCCCGCAACTGCTCTGAAAATCCTTCCTTTTGTATTCTTTTTTTCCTAATGACACTTCATTTCCAGGTACCATTGATTGGTCTCCCTGCAGTTGTAACATTGTCCATGTTCTGTCCTGTCAGCATAATCCCTTTGTTTCTCAAGCATATTGCATGCATACATCTCAATTTGGTCATTTACCGGTGTCTTAATTTGGACATGCCCACCCTCCTAATTTGGTTAGCCCACCACAACTAGAAATCCCAGGGGCTTTGCAGCTGGTCATTGTGACTTAATGCTATTTCTGAAGGTCCATTATCTTTGTAATGGAACACTGTACATGTTTTCTATTTCCCAGGATAGATGTGCCTGTTTGCCTGCTAGCTCCAGACAGAGTGCCTGCCTCAAAGGCTGAGAATATGGATCTTTGTCACAAACAGACTTTTGCAACCTTTTAACCTTTGCCGTTCCCCTGGAACATTGTTGTAATGCGATGTTTACTCTACCTACAGGCCAATTCCTAAAAGCAAATCTCTAAATATCATTTTCTAGCCATCACCCAGGATCTCCAAGGACCCATCTCCTGATCCATCTGGGATCTCCAGGGGTGTGTTTGGGTAAGCAAGGAAACCCTGGCTTTCCCTGATTATCCAGATAGGTCCCTGGAGATCTTGGGGTGGGTCTGAGTATGGATACATGCGGCTCCAGAGATTTCCCCGTATCTGTGTCTTCACATCAGGACCCATGTGGGCTTTTCCTGCTTAAGGAGACACACCATGCCCCTGCAGATCCCAGGGAAAGTCTCTATAAGTGGGGAACCCTAACTTTCCCCACTTATAGAGAAGTGCCCCAAGATTCTCCTGGATGCATCTCTGTAAGTGGGGAAAGCTTGGCAGGTGCTCTGGGGGCTTCAAGGGCCCGATCCTGCATGGGAATTCCAGGGGTGTCCAGGACTGAACCCCCAAAGTTCCTAGAGCACCCGCCCAGAGTGACTGGACAGTGTGGGCAGGTTGGGCTGCCTGCATTCTCCTGCCATAGAGCAAACAGACATCCACCACAGTAAAGTGCCTTTGATTTGTGGTTGATGTGGTGCAACAAAGGGTAGGGACATCTATTTGCTCAGTATTTGTGTTGCTATAAAAATTATTATGGTGATGTGATGTTAGGTGATGTCTGTTTCTACTCTAAGATGCCAACCTGCCTTCCTCCTGACCTCAGACTAACTTGGCTAACGACCTCTCTCTACTCCTAAAAATGAAGTTGTTTGCATAGCCCTTCATTCTAGGCTTTTCAACATGTGTCATCTTTAAAAATTTTGGAGCCGTCTTCAATCTTAAAATTAGTCAGAAATTAACAGTTGAATTTCCTGCTTACTGTCAAGATTTCTAAACATTAATATTGTTGCTTTAGTCCATACCTAAAATAATTTATTTGTCTCTGTTCTTTACAGGTCTAATTTGTGTAGGGTCTTATTTGCTAGCCTTTATTTTTGTACTGAATTCTGGTAATTACTGGCTGGCTCTGTTTGACAGTTTTGCTGGATCCATCCCCTTGCTGATCATTGCTTTTTGTGAGATGTTTTCAGTTGTGTACATCTATGGAGTAGACAGGTATGAAGTACTAGTAAAACTGAGTGTTGCTAGAAATGATGTAGTAACACAAGTGATAGAACTTGCTGTATCCCTGCCCATATCTGCTTTCTAATTTTAGTCCCTTCAATTATGCAAATATAAATTAGCTTTAGTTAAATAATTTAACTGCCTTTTTTAAGTTAGTTCTCAATCAATAGGAAAAAAAATGCCAATTTAGGTTTAGTGTTCTTTACTTGCATATTATATAAGAATTTTCAAATCACTTAACAATAGATGATGATCAATCATTCATAAGTAGTCACATACCTATTAAACTAGGTTTCCCAAAGACTGTGAGGGAATAAAATCCTGTAGCAAACAATCAGGCATAGAATATTCTGCATGTGAACTCCATACTTTTAAAAATCAGATAGAGCAATGCAGACATGCAGTAATTAGGTAAACATTATCATGTTTCATTCTAATCTTAAGTGAAGGGATGACCACCTAACCCTCAGAGGAAATATACCTGTATTCTAAAGTCTTGATCCAGTGTTAAATACACTGGACTTCGCTTTACAAATTAACTTTCTGCTTTAAATAAGTAATTTCTGGTAATCAGGGTGAAATTGTAACAGCAATTGAAGTGTTAGAGGAAGCTGTGGTAGAGCAAACCGATACATTTAAAAGTCAATAAGTCACCAGGATTCCAGAGGTTTCATCCAAGAGTTCTAGGAAAATTAAACATTAAATGACTGATCTAGTAACAAAAATATCCAATTGCTTGTTAGAAACAAGCACTCAGTTCTAGCAACTGTTCTAGAGGATTGATAGATAATAAATGCTGTCATGTTTAAGAGGTTCCGGAGGTGATCTAGGGAATTGTAGCCAACTACAATTATAACCAAAGTGACTAGTCAGATTGGGTGAATCTGTAATTATATAAAAATCACCTGAAGGATTACTCTAACAAAATTTTACTAGATCCAATGCCTGGAAGTTGAAGTCAGGAAATCCCAACAGGAAATAAAGAATACATTTTTAACAATAAGCATAATTAACAAATGGAAAAAGTCACCACACGCTGTGAATTATCTATCACTGGGTTAGTGATCAAATCAGGATTGGTTTTTGGGTTGTTTTTTTTTCTAAAACAGATGATCTAGTTCAAGCAGGAATTAATTCAGGAAAGGCCAGTGGCCTGAACGTCACATGCAGCAAACTGTTTCCCTTCAAGCACATTCCCAACCTTAAAACCAGCCTTTTCAAACCCTTAGCAACTTTCAGTCGGCAACTGAGCCTCTACCTCACTCATATAAAAGGGAAAAATAAAACATACATGATGACAGATTCCTCCAAAATCTATGTTGCATTCATAGCTCTTAAGGCACCTGAATAGCTCTATCAGCATCTTCCCTTCCCCTCCATTCTATGAAATCAGAAACAGTCTGGTGAAATGTGTGTTTTTAAGAGCCTCTTCTGGGCTTTCTTTTGTGAAACTTGGATAAAAAACATATAGCAGAATTGTATAAACATTTGCCTCAATTAGAAAAATGTTTTTAAATGTTATTGTTACCCATTCACATTAGAAAGTTCTGAGAAGTACAGTTAGGTCACCTTGTCATTTGTGACTTGTTGACCAATCTTTGAATGTGTTTTCTATTATCACCGTGCAACGCAGTGATGTTTCTAAATATTCTGCTTTTACTCTTAGGTTTAACAGTGACATCGAGTTTATGATTGGACACAAACCCAATATTTTCTGGCAGGTCACATGGAGAGTTGTCAGTCCTCTCATAATGTTAGTTATCTTCTTCTTCTACTTTGTGGTGAAAGTCAACCAAAAACTGCTTTATGGTGTTTGGGATCCTAATTATGTAAGTACTTGCAGCCAAAATATGTATCTTGATTTCCTCTTTTCTCTGGCAGTATGAAATACATCCATCTTCCCCAAGCTGACCACAGAATCCTAGAGAAGTAGGGCTGGAAGGGACCCAGAGATGTCATCTAGTCCAGTGCCCTGCCTGTGGCAAGATAATCCCATTCAACATTTTATTTTCATGACTAGCTTGTTACAATGCATATAATGGAATATAAAAATGTTAGCACTTAGAGAGAGGATGTTGCTATTCCAACTTCAGCCATTAATGTCTGGAAATTGCTGGAGAGTGATTGCTTGGTAATTTTGCCTATGAGAAGAGGAGGACTGGGAAAAAAGAAAAAAGATCCTTCTGTGAGATAGGATTAAAACAAGAGCCTTTGAATTGATGCCAATTGCACTGTATGGACTGCAGAGGAATTTGTCATGTAACACCCTGTCAGTGTTCACAAGACATCTATTAGGTCAGATTCTGAACCCAGTTTTCAGTGTAAGCTCATAGGATATACAGTGAAGTTACTCAGATTTTCACTTATAATTATGATCAGTATCTCCCCCTGCTTCCACCTCTGCAGGTCTTGTGTTTATTATATATTAATATTTGTTCCCAGGAAAAGCTTTTGGGATATTACCTGAGGAAAGACCAATTTCAACCTGAACTACATAGGTCTTGGAACATATGGAACCTAGTTTTTTTATAGTGGACTGTAGCAGGACTAAACACCATGCGCCCCTCAGGGTAACACTGTGGCTTGTGCCCCTGCAAAGGCCCCAGCAAAAGATAGTTGTTGTGGGAGGCCTCATCACATTGGCAGGGGGGCAGCAAGCACCAGACTCTAATGCAAATTCAGCCCCTTTCCTCTTCCTACCTAACTGGGCCACAAATCACAGCCACTTTCTTCAGCTCTACTATTTATGCATCCAGACAGTCCTAGGCTTAATACAAAACCTGCAAAGCTCATAAAACCCATCCCTTTTCACTGCAAGAAGAATGGTTCACTGTAAAGTGCAGTAAGTCAGAAATTGCTGTGAGCTAGTGGATCACAGCCAGGCATTCCCATGGTCTAAGCCTAGCTAGGCTAGCACAGCTTAGTTTGAGAGAACGGGCAAAGCACTCAGCACCCCCTTTTTCTCCATTTTATTACCCGAAAGAGGTCCAGTAAGTATGTATCTTATAACAATGTGGGGAGGATTACTCAATTAATATATGTAAAGTGCTCTTAAGATGCTAAATAATATTACTATAGAACCCAATGAAAGTATAAATGCTATTCATAAAAAGCTGTTATATCCTTTAAGCACAAACTGCTAATATTCCCTTGTCCTTTCAGAGTTAGAATATTGTCACATGCAAATTACTGTCACAGTTCTATTTTTTTTTTCTGTGTTAGAGTTCAATATGTGATGTTTTTATATATTTTATTTGCTACAAATTTCTGACATGACTGTTCATTCTCACAGGAAGAGTTCCCCAAAACAGAGAAAATTGGATATCCTGGTTGGGTCTATGCCATCATTGTCATCCTGGCTGGAGTGCCTAGTCTGGTCATCCCTGTCTTTGCCATCTATAAATTCATCCACAATTACTGTAGAAAGAAACGGGGTCTCGTTGGTTCAGCTTCTGAGCCCTCTATGAATGGAGAGTTGAAGAACCCCGCATAAAAACATTCCAGAGAAGTGGGGGATAAAAGACTTTGTTAATGAGGAAAGGAAATACAAATTTTTAAAAACCATGATTAGTTTCATCCCAATGTGGATAATGATGTGAGGTTTCAAGGGAAACAATGAAGCGAAGAGATCCCTACAAGGACAGATATGACTATCCAATTGTTAAGGCTCCAACAACAATGCCATATTTATCCCAGCTTGTCTTGCACAGTCATTCATCTTTACCATACATGGCACTGTGTTGCACGAAGTCATTGATGTATTTTCATCAAGCAGAAGTATTAGAATATTTAATTAAAATATTTGGAAGTGTGTAAATGATATTTTACTTTACTATAGCTCTGGGTATTTTATTAACAGCCCCTTTACTTCCTACCTGCCAGCAGAGAGCTCTTCCAGCTTCTAATCACATAGGAGAGGGAGTGACATAATGAAGTAGCAGCAGTAGCTCAGGAAAGGGCAAAATCTGCCTGCATTAGCTCCTACTGAACAGAAAGTGCTGAGGAACACAATCCACTTGCCCAAGAGTTCTGTGATGGCAGAGGAGCTGAGATGGGAGAGGAATCTTACCCCTTGTCCCTAACCATCAAGGTAGGTAGCACCAGGACACTTGCATAGCTGGACACTGCTGCTGCCAAGAACACCACCTCCCATAGGGGCCAGCTTTTGAGATCAACCTTCATACTACATTCCTGGCCTTGGTGCGCATAAACAGGAGCAAGTCAGTGCAGCATGCTTAGGCATTAGCACTGCAAAGCATTTTCATCCAACTGTCCTGTTACATCCAATGATGCTACGGGTCTTTTACCAGGTATGGAGACTAAGACATGGTTGTTCTTAACTATAAGCAAGTCTATTGAACACTAACAGTTACAATTCTAAATCAAAAGTAAAGCGTTCTCAGCAGTTACTATTCTAATACTATAGCTAGTCAAAAGCAAAACCCTGAGATACTGCCAACATGACTTCACTGGTTGATCAGGCTGTGTGAGCTCTTCTTTGGGGCTCCTAGCTCCTGTATCTGATGCTTGTGCAGGATCTTGGATTGGCGACTGGATCTCTTCAGGCTTCCTTCAGGAGTGTTCTGGAAAGGGGTTCCAATTCCTTTACTTGTATACCTTATTGTTACTATGTTTCTTATCATATAATTAGCTTAAGTCATTCCCTATAATGCATACTAATAAGTTTATTTCCACTTGCCATATATGATTGACTGGAATTTTCCAGCCATAGGTACTTTTTCTCATTCTTACGTAGGAGCTAGTTCTGCTACTGATTGATCCTCTTTTTCCAAGCCAAATTTCCTTATTTTGGTTGGCCAACTTCTTGTTTTGATTTTGGTCACCTAAACAAGGTATTTCTAGACTTCCTCTTCTTTGCCAAAAACAGGTCATGGTCCAGGTGATCCTCATATCAGATCTCATTGCTGAGTTGCAGCTGTTCAAAGCCAAGCTAATCTGCAGCAGAACGTACTTGTGCTTATGCTAAGTGCCAGAGTTAAAAACCCAGGCACAAAGGCCTCTAGATCCCAACAGTCCCTTCTTCCTACAAGTAGCATTTTACAATGAATATTTTAAAAAAGAAAGGACCAAGAATAATCTGATTCATTCCCAAAAATATCCCAATAAAAAAAGCATAGGTGTGCTATAGGCAGCCAATGGAGTGAGGCTATGGGGAACTGTATACTGAATAGATAATTAGGATTATCTATTTCAATTGCTGTTTACTTGTTGTGTAGCTAGTTCTGATAACTTTTCTTTGCTCCAAAACTTTCTTGCCTTCTTCCTATCCTTTAAATGACTACTTTAATAATGTAATCGTTTTTTTATGACTCAGTCAGATGATGGTGTGTTACAAAAGTAGATGCATTCCTGACCTTTCAGAATGTAAATAGGATGGAATAAAATCACACTTAGCTCCACCCAGAACTGCAGTTGGTGGAACAAAATCCGTTCCTTACAATGGCATTTTACAAAATTATGCATGAAAAAGATATTTCTGACTAGCATTAAAGCATACATTTTAGCTAATTACCAACAGAAGTGGCTTACTTCAAGACATGATGAATTCTTCACCACTTGGAATTTTTAAAGCAAGCCTATATGACTTTTTTAAAAGACAGGATATAGCTCACATGGAAAAATAGGCTTGATGCAGAAATTGCTAAGAGAAGAGTAGGGATTAGAGGCAAAGATTTTTGTGAGCAATAGTTGTTATTGGAGGAACTGCAAGATTGGGATAGATTTAGGTAAGCTTTTGAGTGCAATGTGTTCTTCTTCATTGCAGGGGTGTTTTTGGACCTGTGATATGCAAGCCAGATTAGATGATCGTCATGACATCTTCTGGCTTTACGAACTTGTTTCCCATTGCTACAGCTATGTAAGCCCCTAAAAACTATTCGGTACTAGGAAACTCCTGTTATTTTGATGGCAGGTAGAAAAAATGAGCAGGTAGAAGTGCCAAAAAAGCTCCACTAAAGCACCTGATATATATAGATGTTGAGCAAACTGGGTCCAACTAACATGATGCCTCTTCTGGGCATGCACTGGGCTCAGCATGGGAGCACACCAAGTTTAAAATAAAGAGCTTTTTTTAAAATATCTGTAAGCAGCCCATCACATTAGTTTAATACAACTATTCTAGATTCTGTTCTGATAGACCTAAGAGGCTTTAGTGAGAGTTGGGTCTCATGAAAAATATGTGCTGAGTTCAGGTACCCAGAGACATTATATTATATATTTAAGAAAAACAACTGTCTATGCAACTGAATATTTTTCTTGATGCAGTACATGAAACATCCATTCAAGTATTACTTCTGCAGGTTTCTGTCCATTCTAAAGTAATAAACTTATTTCTTCTCATCATTTTATTATTTGTGTCTCTGTCATGCTTAGGACTCCTTATCATGGGCCAGGACACACCATAATAAGTAAAGGTACAGAATGAAAAATAGGTCAGTGCCCCAGATAAGCTAAACATAAGACAAGAAACAACAGATGGCTATTAATGCACAAGGGAGTTCAAGGAATCAATGCAATATTATTGGTCAGCCCAAAGGCAGTGGTCATAGCACATCAGCAGCCACATCTGCACTGACTTCCATTAGCTTTCCAAGTGCAATTCGAGGTCCTGGTTTTGACCTAGAAACCCCTAAGCAGCCTGAGCCTTACATACCTAATGGACTGCCTCCTCCCTCATATTGTGATCCTGAAGATCAGCCTCTTGAAGCTCCATCTGTACCCCATGTTCACATGATGAAAATATGTAGGAAGTCATTTTCTCAATAGTCACTCTTTAACTTTGGAATTCCTTCCCCTTTGAGGCCCATCAGAGTCCAAACCTGGACATCTTTTGGAAGCCTTGTAAGACATTTTTAGTTGGGCAGGCTTTTAGCAGGTGGGGGCTACATTTGGGGGTTTGTTTGAAGAACTGTTTCATCATTTATTATTGTATTTTAATTTTTTATCTGTTTTTATGACAACTTTTTTTTATTGTTAGCCGACCGGAGCTTTTTGGTGGAGCAAAAATTATTTATTTGTCAATCGAATAAATAATTATGATGTTGTCTTTAAGCATCAAGGAAAAAGACAGGTCTAATGAGGGATTCTAATGAAGTTCTAATCAAGGTGGGGAATGAGGTAGCTTTGCAGATGCTTACAGATGACTTATCTGAAGCAAGAGAAGAGATGCAATAGAAGGTACAAAAGTTTCAGAATTACACCTTTCAAAGCACCACTGTAATTGAGTAATAACAAAAACAAATGTACCAGTAACATAGTAAGTAACACAATGAGCATGTTACCTACAGGTTATTAGATACCTGGAAATGTATCTAATAACCTGTAGGTCACATCCTGAACTACAGGACCTCAAAAATATGAGATTTTCACTGTGGAAACCATGGCAGCTACAGTCCCCTTTGCCAGGTATGTGGTCAGATGCAGACTGGATATTTATTTGTCAGTCTGGGGAAGGGACTGTTAGGAAAGCCCTATGTCTCCCTAGCTACTGCTGCTTCTCAAGCCTTGCCACCACAGATAGAGATGTTTTCAGTATCCAGTACATAATACAGCCCAATCTGTAGCTCAGAAAATGTTTTCCATGGTACAAAGTTCTTCCAAGACCCATCAGACCACAAGAGATCAGTTCTATGATCTGTGTTTCAGTAGTCACACACATCTGGCTTATCAGAGTAACCCCCTTCCTCATTTTGTTTTTTGACTTGCTGAGACTTGTTCAAATGCAATTTAAACATATCTAGCTTGACCAGGGATTTCCAAGGAGCCTTGTGCAAACCCATGCTAAATAGCTTCTAGGATGCATCTCTGTAGCAGGCTGTATGCTTGCTGGGGCAAGTATAAGGAGCTAGCGAAGTGGCATCAGGTGTCTGCCCCAGAGGCGATGGAGGGTGATGTGCAGGGGGCTGAGTCAAGCAGGAAGGGAGAGTGTAGAACTGGGGAGGGTGGGTTTAGAAGTCATGGATCTCAGGACTGCTGTGTCTGGCTGTTGAAGTCTAAGCCTCAGCCTAGAGCTTCATTTATGGTGGCTCTCACCTACTTCCAATGGTGTTGTGGCAGGAGCACATATTTCTCAAGGGAAATGTCCTGCAAGTACAACACCAATGGAAGAGGAAGGCATCTCTGGTTCTTTCCCCATAGAAGAAAACCCTGCTTTTTCATTCTCTGAAGTGACACTGAGATACTGTCCTCTGAGCAGCGCTATGGCATAGATACAGGGTCATCTGCTGGCCCAAGGACCTAGGGAATGTTGATGTTAGAAGTCATTGTGGATGTGATTCAGGGGCAACTCTGGGAGAATGGATGGGTGGGGTCCTTGGATATGTTGAGCTTCTGGCCAGGAAAAAGAACAGTTTTGCCAGAGTGTACCTGTAGCCTCCATCCTTCTCTACCCCCATCTCCCAAGTCTCCCCTTCTCCCAGCATAGAGCTGATCAGCCCCAGGAGCTACTGTCAGAGCTACCGCATGCCTGCTGTGGACCCAGACAGGTCTTTCAACTTGTGATGTGCTGGAGCTCAACAGCTGTCGTTCAACGGGACAGGGAAGTCAATCACCCTGTCCAAAGAGGCTGTGAGGAATGTTGAGGGGCTTCCCAGCCAGAGTAGGGACATGCCCATGTATCCTTGTTCAGCATTTTAGTTTTTGATGCAGGTATCTTTGCACTTTCTGCAAAGGCAGTTCATTTCATGTTCTCAGAGTTGCTTATGGGAGACACCATTGTTTCCCCCATCCTGTGGCCTCACAGGACTCCAGTAAATATATGATTGTCCAGGATTCAGTAGGCAATGCCGCCGGTGTCTCCAGATGGTGTGCTGACTTTGGCAGCTTGGGCACTCTGAAGTGCTTCTGGAACCACTCTGGGCTTCTTACTGAGAGAATAAACCTCCCTGGACAGCACAGAATTGCTCCTGAGCCTTGACCTGTTAGCTTGAGGAGAGCAACAGCTCAGTCCCCTTCAATGAGAAATAGGACCTTGGCCAAAGTGGTAATTTCAAGCAGCAAGACAGTTTATTAGATGGTATATTCAGCACATGGTCTGAAACTACTTAAAATGCAAGCTAACAAGAAACTTGGGCAAGTAAAGGGCAAAAAAGGTGTTTTCACTCACTCTCCAATTTAACAAAACATGACCCTTGACGCACACAGCTGTTACATTCCTCGGTAACTATTTAATTAACAGTAAAACCAGACACTTTGGGATTCATTGACAGGCAAAAGGATGATTAATCTTTAAGGGATATGATGAAAGACCATGGACCAGATTCCAACCTCTCTTCTCAGAATCAGTGGCTAGAATCCAGATGTAAAGCATTTGTTAGTGATATTTATTTTATTATTTTTAATTTGATTAATAGTTAGCATTTTGATCATATTAAATATTTAATATGATCAAAATGAATATGAGTAACTTGGTCCTTTCTTGGTAATTTAGTGCAGAATTATTTTTCAAATTTGTTAAACTATAGAACTGGAGTACTAAGAAAGTGACTGAAGTATTAAATAAATCGTATTTTTTAAATGTCTGCAAAATATATTAATCCTCATATACTGCATCTTTAAAATACTTTGAAACAGACCTAAAACATGACAAGATGCAATGGGAAGTTTGACTGTGTAAGGACTGAGAGATCATGTCTGTCATGTGGGGGAATGTAATGTAACATAATGTAATTATATATTCAACTAGACAGTGTCTTGTGGACAGGGCAGAAGAACATGGTGCAACAACTGATAAAATTGTTTAATTTCATTTTTCCTTGCACATATTTCAATTGCATTTTCTTCCAAAAGCTGATGTCATTGGTTAACCTTTTAACTTGGTATTAAGAAAGGATAAACTTACCAGTAGAAAAATGATTTAACTCGTGGCTTTCTCAGAAAGAAACATTTCATATAATTTTGCAGTATTACTGTAAGCTGGATGTTGCAAAGTTCCTTTTGATTTGTGTTCGGTGACACACAACTTTTGCAAATTATCTGAGAACAAACAGGTTTAAAGAAAATGTACATGCACAAAGAACTATTTAACCCTCAGTTACCAATTAACACTATAGCTGTGTATTCGCTAACTATAAAAGGAAATTACACAAAAAGCAAATGGGTAAAACTTTGTACATATAAATTGTGTTTTTTACACTGATGCATTCTTTTGTGTTACATAGAGTAGAAAGCTCCTCCCATTTCCCCAGAATTCCTCACTGTCCTGTATAAAACGTGTAAGAAAACCAGGTTTCAAATTCTATTAATTTTTCTTCATCATTATAGAGAAGAACAGGAGTGGTAAAAACATTGTACTTCGTAAGGATGCCCAAAGCTCTACCAGTGGGTATGCTTCCTGAAGTTCTTAAAGAAGATGACAGACCAAAGTGGGACAATAAATTCCAGTATATTTTAAGCTGTATTGGATTTGCTGTTGGTTTGGGAAACGTGTGGCGATTTCCATACTTGTGCCAAATATATGGAGGCGGTAAGATTTAAATAGCGCTTTTACTATGGAATTAAATACACAGTTCCAACTTACCATATTAAAGAACGAATGAGCAGAGAAGACATGCTTTTAGATCTAATTATACTTTCATTTTTTAATATTCATATATTATCTGCTGTTTTCAACTATTGAGTAGAATAGATTTCTGTATGTGAAAATCATATTTTTTTAAAAGATACAATGATTTAAGAAATAACCATAAACTAACAATAATGATGTATGGGGGAAATCAAAGCTAGCATATCCTGCAAACAGTTTCTCATTATTATCGTTCCAACAGAAGAACAATAAACTACTTCATAGTTTAAAAATTTATAGTTTTTATACATATACAGTTTTACATTTATAGTTTTATACATATATAGTTTTTATACTTTATAGTTGAATTTTAAAAAGTGATACATTGGATAAGTCCCTGGAAGGCCTGGTAAGCCAGTATTCCAAACATTTGAAATTGGAGCTTTCCTTTAAGAAAATCATATCAATCAATCCCACCAGTCACTCTGCGTGTCAGTAAAAATCCACCCATATTTTAGAATTTTAAGTAAATGACATTAAATTGTGTTTTTAAAATAATTTCTACATTATTAAAAATGATGTTTCTTCACTATGGTGTTAAATTTTAGAAGGCAGGTTGGCAAAGGTAATTGTGTTGTCATAATGTACCTACTCAGACATGTTTCACTTAATATGGTGCAGTGTTCTGATTAAGAAACGTGTATTGTATGAAAACAAAGTGGCATAGCTTAAATGATTAAAAACTGAATAACTAACAGAGCTCAAAAAGTAACAATAAATAAGGAATTATCAGAACTGCAGTAATTTCAACTGGAGTCTTACAGTAATCTAGTCTTGATTCAGTGCTACTCAATATCTATCAAGGAACTGGAAAAAATTTCAAATGAATGCCCGTTAAAGTCTGCAGGTTAGAAAAAACTTCATGGAGCTGTAAGTGAAAACAAGTCAGTTCTACAGGTTGATGTGAACTGTTTGGCAATCTAGGTTTGCCAAACTAGGTGCACTTTCACAGAGCTAAATAGGAGCCAGTCTACCTAGAAACCAAGAACATAGTCCCTAGTTAAATCATGGTGGAATTTTAGATGGCAGAAGTCACTTAAGTGAATCGGTAGATAAATGACTGAACATCAGCTTCTAGGACAACATGGAAGGTAAGACCCACTGCAATGAACAATGGGTATATAAGCAGAGGAACGGGGGCCAAATGGAGGGAAATGTTATTACCATTCTGAGCAATCTTAGTGAGACCATTTTTGAAAGGGTGTGTGCATCCTTTAAAAAGCAGAATGGAAAAAATGGAAAGGATGCAGAATTCTTCCAAGAATAGCTCAAGAATGGTTCAAAATTTGGGACACTTGCCTTGCAATGAAAGAGTTAGAGAGTTTGGTCTATTTAGCTATGGAAAAAGACTTTGGGAAAAATTCAGATTCCCTCTCCTCCATATATGCATATCCCACCACCCGTGACTCCAATTCGGATGTCACACTGCCTACAAATTAGGTACCTAGTACCAGGAAGGTGATTCCCAGAAACAGGGTTAAGCATCTATATTCCCTACAGGGACTTGCCAGGGCTCCTCACCACCACTTGAGAGGAGCCCAGCTCCTCTGTTTCCAGTTGCTGATGGAAGCCAGCTCTTTTAGGTTTTGAACAAGCCTAAGGATTTCAGCTTTTTAGAATCTAGTCAATACAGGTCTTGATGCCACTCACTATAAACAACTGTTCACACAGATACTCCAAGGACTTCAGCTATTTAAAAATAAGTGGATACCAGATCTGAACCAGAATAAACCATAGGAAACTATGCAACCAAAGCACTCTTCATTTTGAAGCTTGAGAGCAAAGTGCAATACCACTGCAAAAATAGCTCTTGGACAAAACTCCAAACCTTCTCTTGTCATTCATAGATTCATAGAAGTTAGGGTCGGAAGGGACCTCAATAGATCATCGAGTCCGACCCCCAGGTATGACTTTCAGGTCATACCTGGCCAGAAAGTCCCTCCTCCTCAGACCTCCACAAAAGTCATGGTGAATACTAATCCCATAATGACCTTTGCTCATTTTATCTTCCAGCATTTAGTATCCTTATAAACTTTACAGTTTTGGAAAGAAAGGTCAGTGTACAGAAAATCTGATTTACCTGGCACCTAACATTCAAACTTTTTTTTACCTCAAAACAGTTGAAAGAAACACAAATAGTTCCCACTGCACTGACCACACACAACAATATGGGTATGCATATAAGGGAAACAGTTCTCAACTATCCAAACCATGCACTCCAATAGAGACATGAAGATTGGCAGCACACAAGGAAGTTACACAGAACACAGATAACATCAGTGGAGTTACAATTATAAGAATGCACAATAAAAAGAAGTAAAATGAAGAATGGCAAAGAGATGGTTGATATGGAAAGGCTGTTTTCCCTATCTCATGGCACAAGACAGCCAATGAAAGTGATAACACCAAATTAAAAAGTGTAAATGGAAATGTTTTTTTCATTAAGTGCATAATTAGATTGTGGAATTTGTTGCGATATTAAATGTCACTGGGGTCAAGAACTTAGTGGCATTCAAATAAAAAGATTCCATGTTTATATGATTAACAAGAATATCCAGAGCTGTACCAGTTATTTCCAACAAAAATTTGGAAGGGATACAAAACATCTTGTTGAAAGATTTACACCAGTGATTGTCAATCAAGGTGCTACAGCACCCTGGGGTGCCTTGACATCCTTTTAAGTGTACTCCAAGGTGCTACACAATGGGCGCGCCTACACATGCCCCTGGCTGTGCATTTGGTACTGCACAGTCCCAGTGGCGCACAGTTATGTTTAGACACTACATCGCCATAGTGACAAGCTAAAGCAGCATAGCTCATTGCTAAGGTGACCTAGCATCAGTGTCACAGGCTATGTTGCTTGTGCCTGCCAATGCTATGTTGTTGTAGTTCATCACTACAGCGACATAGCATCTCATGTAGACACATCCAATGGGCGCATCCACACCCATGCCATGTGCGCTTTGGTGTGTGGCAAGTTGCCCTGGGTTGGGTAGGGGAGTCTAGGGCCAGCAGTGAGATGGCCCCAGCAACCTTACCTGTGGTCCTGGGAGTCTCCTGGGGCTGCAGCCATGGAGATTCTGCTGTGCAGAGCCTGGTGGCAGCTGCAACGCAGCTCTGGGCATCCCAGCTCCACTTTTCATCAGCACGCGCTGGCCAACTGTGCATTGCACTGGGGCTTTTTCTGTGGGTTTGTGTGACTCCGGGATATCCAGGGGTCACAAAAACCCACAGAAAAAAAACCTGATGCAGTGCATGCTTTGGCAGCGCACCCTTGCAGGACAGAGAACACCGGACTGTGCAGTATGTGGCACTGCAAACTTGCTTACAGCACCACATACTGCAGGACTGTGCCCATCTGGACATGCCCAATGTGTGCAAACATGATTCAAAAGATAAACCCAGAGATTTTAAATAGGAATCCATAGTGTTATAAACATTCTGACTTGTTATGGTCTTTCTGAGTTCTTTGCACCAGAGCTCCTCTTACTTTGGTTGTATCACTTTGAGAAAGGGACCAGAAAAGGCCACAGGTAGTCAAAGCATGATGGACTTTGTGCTTCTTGTGCATTTGACACACCCAGGAACACTTACTTTGGAAAGCAAAAATTACAGACATTAGAGCAAATCATGAAAATTATAATGAAAAAAAAAAGATGATTATTTGGCTTATCAAGGTTTTTTCTTCTTACTAATATGGAACAAGACTGGTTTGGATTTTCCAAAGCACATACATGATTTAGAAGCAAAAGTCCCATTGACTTTCAGTGGTTCAAGAGTTTGAGTTCCAGTCGGATGCTTTGGAAAATTCCCTGACCAAGGAAGAGTACATGAGATTCATTAGCCCATGTGAAGTCCTGAGTGACACTGTGCCTCAGAGCCTGCCTTTACTGGGGATGTACATACCAGTGCGGGAACACCAGTACAAATGTCCAGTGTAGATGCAGTGTACCATAATTTGAAACTCGTACAAAGAGGCCTGAAACTGAATAGTTTCTGCTGTATTAACCACAGCCTCACAAATGGCTTGTGTCTGGGTTTTATCCAAGTGTTTAGAAAGATCAGAGACTGTATTTTGCTTCATCTCTAGGTGCTTTACAAAACAACCAAAGACTGATATTTCTGATTGTGTCAGTTGCTTCTTATCAGACCCCTGAACCTAATTCATGGCACATTAGTGTTATTTAGTAACTTGGCTTAACATGCTCAGCTCATGCAACCAGAGATAAAGACATAATAGCAGCTCTTCTGCAACTTATCGCTCTTCTGCAACTTATCGCTCTTGGCTGTTACTGATTATTTGGATTTATTGCCTGTGTTGAGCCAGTTATTGACACTGTATGAGTAATGGATATGGAGGTTGCTTGCCAGAGAAAAGGAGGCAAACAGACACACTCCCAGGTAAGTGAAATTGTAAAATAGTTTTTTAAAGAACTACTTATGTACTTTGGCACTTAAAACAGACATTCAAATAAGTTTTTTTCTCATCAGTTTATATAGCTGTTTGGGAAATTGCAGTATTTGGCAAGACTTAATGATTTTAATAGCAACTGGCTGCGGTGTTTTATTCCTGGTGGTAGTGTACTGCAGGTATGCTTGGCCAAAACAAAGGCCCTTAGTCCAGACATTTGACACTACAGGAAGAATTAAAAATAGATTAACTATGACAAACAACAGTTTTATTATAGAGGAATAAAACCATATTGGTTTTAACCTGGCCATTTAAATCCCATCAGGAAGACAGAGCTAAATTGTTTGCTCCCTAGGTAACAGTTTAGATAAAGCCTCATTTACCGTCTTGAAGATGTTGAACTGGATACCAGAAAAAGCAAAAGGGGCCTAGAATAAAATAAACTTCTACCATGATAAGCAGGAAAATGAAACCTGCGTATACATACAGA